AAAATTCATAAAATAACAATACACTGCATGAGGCTACCGTTGCTTATGTATCCAAAACCGGGTCTACAATGTTGAATGGTGTTGGATTGTAAAAAGTGGAGGCAATACGCTCGCCTATGAACCCCTAATGTGAATCAGGAGCTTAGACATGAGTGACTTGGTTGAAATGGAAGTCAAAATTTACATCACATGCCCATGTCTTTTAACTTTTCTAACTTAAGTCACTGTATGTCTTCATTAAACACACTTACAAAAGTTTGAAGACTAACTTGGGGAGAAAATAGTGATAAAAGTGAAAAAATTCAAAAGTTCAGGGGTCAAATTTGTAGGCAACTCATATATATTATTACAAAATACATAATGATATGAATAATAAATATTAAAAAAAAATTATATATATATATGTATGTATGTATGTATGTATGTATAGTGTGGTGTGTGGCCCTGTGGGGTTTAGTCTACTCCAGCATCATCCATCCATTAATATTATCTCATGGAATTCAGCGTTATTTTTCAAACTTCCCCTCATACCCGCGCACCAAACAATCCGTTGGTGTTTATTTATTGTTTATTCATTAAAATATACGATTTTTCCAGACTTGCAGTCTTTGTAACTTGTAATTAAGTTGAAAGTTAATTGGTTTTTAAAGAAATAGAGAAACTTTCAAAAAAGCTCTCCCCTCTCCCCCTCTTCTCTCCACCCTCGCACTGTTCTGTCCAGTCCAGTCCACTCCCACCCCAAAACTCTCACGAACCCTGATCGTATTTTTCATCCCAAAATCTCTGTAAGCTGTTGAAAATCGATACAAATACAAATACCCAGATCCAATCTAATCTGTTTTTACAAGTACATGCACTGTTTGAGCATGTACTTGTGATATAAACTCCAAACTCCAAAGGGTGCGGCTGAAAAGGTAGAATCCGAGGCAATTAAAATCCAATCCAGGGAGGAGAGGATAGCTTTTGAGGTGTGGCTGTTTTATTATATAGCTGAAAAAAGACTCTGGCTTTGGTAGTATTATGCAACTTGGTTTTGATAAAGGGATCATCTGGGAGCGTCAGAGAGAGACAGAGAGAGACAGAGAGAGAGTGAGAGTGAGGAGTGAGAAACTGTGAGATAGCTAGAGAGAGAGGTGAAATTAAAAACCCAAATGCCGCAGGAGGAGTCAAAGAAGAAGGAGCGCCACATCGTTAGTTGGTCTCAAGAGGTCTTCTTTTCATCTCTCTCTCTCTCTCTCTCTCTCTCTATTTGATTGGACTGTTTTGAGTTCTGAGTTTTGATCAAGACACCCAATTATGTTTATTTGGTTTTTCTCTGACATGGGTTTTGGTTGTTTTTTTTTTGAGTTGCAGGAAGATGATATACTGAGGAATCAAATTAACACCCATGGAACAGAAAAGTAAGTTTCTTGGTTTTTAAACCTGGGTTGGTTTCACATTTTACTTTACATTTATTCAATAAAATTACCATTCTCTTGGTAGAAAATGAATTAAGGGCTTTGTTTTGTGATCAATTTGTGTTGCAGTTGGGCTATCATTGCATCTAAATTCAAGGATAAAACAACCAGACAGTGCAGGAGAAGGTAATTTCAAACCCAGTGATATTGATGTTTGAATTTAAGTTCTGTTGAGAAATCCTCTGTTTTTCATCCTACTCAATTATTGAGGTCTAATTGTTTTGACTGCTAATTTGTTTTGTCTGAAATTTGACAATAATGTTGCAGATGGTACACATACTTGAATTCTGACTTCAAGAAAGGAGGGTGGTCACCAGAGGAAGACATGCTCTTGTGCGAGGTAATTGATTACAGTAGTTTAGAATATCGCCTTATTCCAGCCTCCATACGCCCAAGTTTTAATTCCCATCACCGTAAATTAGACGAGTTTGAATATTGGCTTGTCAAAAAAGGGATGAAGTTCTTCTACTTTCTGCATCCTTAATTGGTTTAAGCAGAAAAATAAATCATCAAAACTCGATTTTAGAGAAGCTTTAATCATTTTCTTTAATATGACCAAGTAGGCCAGACCTAGTGATTGCATTGTGTGACTTCCTAAAGTTGAACAGAAAACCTGACCACTGTTTATTCAACATTAAACATCATTACCCTCATCATTGGATGTGGTAGCAACCTGATTGCTCTAGGTGATCTGATCTGCAGGCTCAAAAGATATTCGGAAACAGATGGACAGAAATAGCGAAGGTTGTTTCGGGAAGGTATATTGACTTTCTTTTTTCTCCTCCTGTTATAAGATAGCTGTGTCGAATGACGCGCTTAAGATCATAAGTTGTGCTATTGATGCAGAACTGACAATGCTGTGAAAAACCGGTTTTCCACCTTGTGCAAGAAGAGAGCAAAATATGAAGCCTTAGCTAAAGAGAATGCCGCTTCATATATCAATCAGAATGACAAAAGGGTCAAAATCCGAAATGGATTCAATACAGATGGAACAGCAGAAACTACAGCACCTTCTAAGAAGATGAGGTATAGTAAAGTTTATATCTTTATGTACAAAATGTTGATTAGATTACTACTCAAAATCGTAGAACTCATTCTTTGTGCGACACAGGAGAAGCCACATCCCTAGTCTCTCCGAGGGGGACAGACTACTCGAGCAGTGTGGAAAGATGAGTCAGCAGCTAAGAGCTCCATTTGCAGTGTTGATTCAGAATGTCCACAATGTAGAGAATCTGCCAGACCAGAATAATGTGAATGGCACCAAGGAAGTCCCCGTGAATGGTAAATCACCTCAAATAAACTTGTTCGGCAACTCTTCAGATTTCTGTTACAATGCCCGATAAGCACTTTGCAGGAAATGTGTGAGAACATAAGCATATTCCTTCTATTTGGACAGCAGAAAGTTGGCCTATTTATCATTTGAAAAATTCATTATGCATTGATTTATATTTTTTCAACTACAAAACTTAAGGAGAATCTAATGTCACTCTACTTTCATTTATCAGCAGTACAAAAGAGCAAGTTTCACGGATCATTTCTCAAGAAGGATGATCCGAAGATAATCGCTTTGATGCAACAAGCAGAATTGCTCAGCTCGCTGGCATTAAAAGTTAATGCAGAGAACACAGACCAGAGTCTTGAAAATGCATGGAAGGTGAGAAAAAATTATCTATTTGCTGTGGTCCTGTGGACTGAGCTATCAACATTTAATTGCTTGGTTTTTGAAAACTATCAGGTAAAATCGTAGGAACATATAAATACAATTATACATATAACTCGCATATATTGTGAATGTAATATTCAGATGCCTTTAGTACTTGATTCCTCCATATCTGATTCATAGAGTAAAACAGATTTATGTCCGGTGCCAAATTGAATCTGCATATCCTCACAAACATCAAATGTGATATTCAGGTGCTCCAAGATTTCTTGAATCAAAGCAAAGATAGTGACATCCTCAGTTATGGAATTAACGATTTTGATTTTCAACTCGAAGATCTTAAATATCTGTTAGAGGACTTAAGGAGCACCACTGAAGGAAGCCGACCATCTTGGCAGTAAGAAAAGTGACTTAGACTACTATTCTTATATGAGCATGCTTAAACCCCTGCACAACATCTAATTGATGACATAGACATTGCAGGCAGCCTGATTTATACGAGGAGTCTCCAGGAAGTTCCGAATACAGTACAGGGTCAACTCTTCTGTCCCAAACAGAATACTATCAAGTGGAAAAAAATGAAGTTGAAATAGGTTCACTGAATCAGGAGATTCGACCAGGGTCACAGTCAATTCCTATTGAAGGGAAAAATGGTGTTGGTGATTGTGAGAAAGGGATTTTTTCCGAAAAGCAAGGTAATGAATTAACATATTACATATTACATATGTTGGCTGATGATAACTTCTGCTTTGGAATTACACATCAAATTTGCTATTCAATCAAATTTCTTGATAACTTATCTAATCTTTCTTTTCACAGAGATATTTCCATCATGTGATGAAGCAACAAAAGACTACGCAGTTGTTTCTGCATTGTCAAGTATAGAGTTCAATTCTCCTATTAAAGTTACCCCATTGTTCAGATCCTTGGCAGCAGGAATTCCTAGCCCAAAATTTTCTGAAAGTGTAAGTTGTCTCAGAAGTTCAACTCTATCAAACAATAAGATATTAGTCTTAATGGTTGCAGAAGAAGTGGTATTAATAATGATGCTTAACGTTGTTTCAATTAACCCCGCTGTAATCTAAGTGAAGCTATGCAATGCTTAACCAAAGTCCAGGTGATGCTAAACAAACATAAAGCAGACAAGAGTGTTTCCATCCTAAAGAAAAAAAAAAAATTAGGAGCTACAACACTGCTTTCATTTACAATATGCACCACAAACTATTGATATCCAAGTGCATTACCATGATCAGCCATGTTCTTAACTTCTACCCGCAAACTTGAATTTGGAAACCTCTGTAGCTTCTTGTTTGCCACATAGAATCTAGTTGACGGTTAGTGTATGTATAACAAGTTCTTAACTTCTTCTATTACGAATGCATGACATTATATTGATTCAAGACTGACCACTTATGTGTTGGATTTTTCAGGAAAGGAATTTCTTGCTCAAAACGCTTGGAGAGGACTCCCCCTGCCCCAACCCAAGCACCAATCCTTCACAACCGCCACCCTGCAAACGATCCCTTCTCCAAAGTCTATAACCAACCTTTTTGATCCACCACCTCATATCTAGTCATTTTACATGGCCTACTGAGTTCGTGTCCGTTTTGAATTCCTCTTTTCTGAGAATTGCAGCCATTCCAGCCTACAATTTTACAAATGGGCAGGTAAAGATCTGCTTCCCAAAACCCAGATCTAGAATGCAATGGTGCATTTTAGCATTTGCAAACGTATCTAACACAGTTTTCTGCATTCTTTTGTCCTAAGCAGAGTTACCTCCTTCAGAGTTCCTAATCGGTATTCGCTTTTCGTGTGTTTGGCGTGTCATTCTTTAGCTAGTCTCTTGCCATCCGATATGTTTTCCGAGTGTTCCATTTTTTGGCCTTGATTTTTACAGTTGTACAGAACTTGCTATATCCCTAGTTCCAGAGTGTGAGACTAATGTAAGCATACATAGGCAGCTCGCCGATATTTTCCGCTAGAGTATATGATCAAAACAAAACAGAGAGAAATTCGAAGAAAAAGAAAGAAACAAAAGGAGAGAGGATTAACCAGTTCAAATGGATTCCTGTTTATCGTTTTTCCGGTGTGGAAAACGGGTATAGAATAAATTTATATTTTTTTTTCTTCTTTGGTTTGATTTCCCCCATGATTTCTGATGTAACTAAACTTTATGTAATTTGAGTGAAAATAGTTTTGGTTTTGGTGTGCACTACTCTCTTTTGTTATATCCTACCTTCCTAGAAGTAAGACATGAACTGATGAACACATCTCCAGGTAAGACACTCGTAGCTCAGTTGGTCAAGAGTATTTACCCTTGCATCTGAGGTTACTTGTTTAAATCTCCCCTCCCCAGCTATCGCTTGTGTCAAAGACAAACACATCTCTATGAAGTGTAGAGTAATGTCTGTACATTCAGCATCAGGGAAGTAAGACACCGACTCGCACACAGATGCAGGAATGCATGAACTGCATTCAAATTAAGGAACAATAAATCCGAAAAGAAAACGGCCTAAAACTTGACGAAATTTGAGCTAGAAAGCCAGTGGTTTTGCTTACCAGAGAGTTATGGCTGGCGTGAAGGAAACTCCCAGTCTTCAGTGCTTCTGTGTTGACAGCAAGTTGTTGAAGTGGGGAAGAAGGGTTGTGAGAGAACTGTGTTGTTTGGTCGTTGTGGTGGTGATGGAAGACCAGTATGATTAGGAAGAAAGCAAAAGCAAAGAGGTAAAAGAGGGAGGGAAATCTCTACAAAATAAAGTGCACATATAATTATTTGCTGTTAACTTTCTCGAGTGAAGGTATAGTAGCACAAATTGACAATTTGGACCTCTCAACTCCAACTTAAAATTGTTTGATCTCAAGGATAAACTAGTAACAAAATTATATGTTTGTTCTAGTAATGCTTTGCAATTTGCATTCGAGAAAAAAAATGAAAAAACCGAAAGGTCGTACAAGAAGCAAATTGAACATGGTAAGAGAAAGGGAAATAAAAAAAAAGGAAAAATGAAGGGAGAAAGTGATCGCTTGATGTTCAATTAACATTACTGTTAAGCAGATGTCGCTTTATTATAGTGGCGAAAAGTAATTATATTTTTGTATTTTGATGCAAGTTCGATTTTAAAAGATTCTCATCCTTAACAACTAACAGTTTAACCCTTTTTTTTTTTTGCCTCAAAGTCCATCCCACTCCAGCATTGCCATCATGGGAAGTGACTTTGAGGAGAATTTATTGATAAACAAGAAAAATACAATATGTCAAGAGAGACATGAGGCCAAATCCGGACCATTAAAGAATTCATAACAACAATTCAAAACTTCTTTCAGCAAAACCTATAACAAGGAAGCTTAGAAAGGTTTGTGAGAATAAGCAACTGCAGCATAAGGAGGGCATGAATCCCACCAATGGACATTGGGGTGATCAACACCATAACTGGCCAAACAATTAACAACTTGATTACCCTCTCTAAAAATATGAGAAATCTGAACCTGCATGGAGGATAGTGAAACTCGATAATTATGCCATCAACCAAAAGCCTCCAAGGGATAGATATCAAAGAAGTTGAAGATGATGAAGAAAGAAGATGAACAACCAATAAGGAGTCACATTCAATCCATAATGAATGCCAACCTATATCCCAAGCTAAAGATACAACATGAATAACAGCGTGTAGTTTGGCATCCAAAGAAGAGGCTAAGCCTATTGAACCTGCAAAACAACCAAGAGAATGATCGGTAAAATCCCGAAAGATACCACCAACTGCAACCACACCAAGGGAACCTCTTGCAACACCATCATTATTTACTTTGATCCAAGATTGAGAAGGCGGGCGCCACAACACCTCAATAATTTTTGGAGCCTTAGCAGGACGTCTACAAACACCAATAGAATGAAGAATGCAAAGCTCTTCCACATAATTCTTCCTACAACCGAAATTGAGATAATCAATTTCATGAAAACAAACAGCGTTGCGAGCATGCCAAATAGAATAAAAACCAACTCCAATCATACCCCACCAAAGCAGCTGCACTTGGGTGCCAAAACCTTGTTGTAAATGATAATGGAAAAAGCTAAAAATATCTTGAAATAAATATTTAACTCTGAATAATTCTAAAACAGTAGACTAAAAATTTGACGTGCAAAAAAGCACTCAAAGAAAATATGTGAAGCAGTTTCCATACCTTCACAACAAAGAGAGCACATAAATGCTATAGCAAAACCTTTTCATTGCAAGAGATCATCAGTTAACATCTTACCATGTAAATACTTCCACAATGTAGCCGAATTACGAGGGTGAAAGCAAGATTGCCAAACCCATCAATCCCATTGAACCACTGGTTGCTTATTACGCTTAATATCATAAGCCAAAGATAAAGAAAGGTCACCATTTGAAGCAGACATCCAAACCATTTTGTCATCAATCCCAGACTCTGAAGGAAGCCCAATAGAAGAAATATCATCTCAAATGGGATGCTAGCCATGAATGTAAAGTAGGTGAGGGAGTCCAACAACCATCCACAATAAAATCAGAAACTTTAGCTCGAAAAACCTTGCATAAATCTGGTGGAATACCAAGCCTATCAAATATTGGAAAATCTAACCATCTCACATGCCAAAAAATAATATTTTCACCAGTACCTATCACCCATTTTGAGCCATGAAAAGTATCTGGAAAAAAAAAAGGCGTAAACTAGGCCAAATGGAGGAACTCTTGTATGTAGAACACGATTGTCCAAGACAATTAAAGAACTGTGAAGCCATAGATGAGGTAACCAAAATATCCCAAAACTTTTTCAATAAAAAGCCTTATTTAAAGCTGAAAAATTACCCAAGACATCCTTCATTTAAAGGAACACAACATTTTGTCCATACCACAATAGAAAATCCACAAGAATCAGCACATCCCATCCAAATGAAATTTCGAGTCCAACTACAAACCTGATTTAATACCGTAGGTGGCCAAAAATAAACTGAGAAAGTATGAGATAACATGCTTACCACAATTGACTTGATCAAAGTAACTTGACCAGCCATTGAGAGAAAGTGATCTTGCCATCGATAAAGACGAGAACGTATTATATATATATATATATATATATATATATATATATATATATATATATATATATAAATTAGGGATGAAATGGTGAAATATAATATTTAATTTGTTGAAATGATTGGGTTCTTAATTTTTTATTGATATGGCCTTAATGTTTGATCAAGAATAGCATCAATCTTTTATCGACTGCTTCCGTGCTCTTATTCTGGGTATTACGCATCGCCACTGTAATCATTAAGATTGGAGTTTATAAAGCTTATCTTTTTCAACTTCAATGCCATTTTCATTTTGAATTTCTTGTTCCTTAGAGCAAAGTCCATCTCACCAAGGCCAATGGCAGAGCTAGAAATCCATGTCAGGAGGGGTCTTTGAAATAAATGAAAGAAATTTAAAAAAAAAAAAATATATATATATATATATATATATAGTAATATAATTAATTGGAGAACAACTAAAAGTTAATTTTTCTGACTTTTTAGTTTAAGTTCGAACTTTAAAATTTAGATGAAAAATTTAGTATTGAGATGATTGTAGTATACAAAAAGAGCTTGTTTACAAGCTTTGGTAAAAATGAATTTAATACGGCATATTCAAGTAAAAATTTAAGGTTATGACTGGCTCAAAAATATTAGAAGACATTTCTTTCAACATAACTGGATCTTACTCTTGAATGTGTACACCTTATTTTATATGAACTGTAAAAAAATAATTGATTTACAAAAATCCGAAGGTTTTTGAATCTGAACATCTATTGTAGGGAGTTCTAAAAATCAGAAGGGAGTATTTAAAATAAGAAGGTAGGCAGCTAGCATCACCAAGTTTTGAATAAAGGACAAGGTGTATAACAAAACTCTACTTCACCATTACACAACAGACTCATCTTTGTAATATTATGTGGACAATATGTATAAGAATGTGATTACATGTAACATCCCACATCGTCTAAGGGAGTGGATCTTCTATGCCTTATATGTATATTCTCATCTCTACCTAGCCACTGTTCTAAAAATCCCCGCGTAGTGCCGCCTAGGCGCTAGGCCCCAGCCCACCGCCTAGACCACTTAGGCACCCGTCTAGACCCGCCTAGGTTGCAACTCACTTAGACAGAAAATACATAACTTTCATTTTGCATTTTGTTTTTTTTCAATAAATTGTAAGAGACTTGTTGCATACTTGAATGAACAAACATTATATCCTTATTTCACATGTTTTCATTATGTTCCAATACTTCATGATATATATGCATTTTATTTTGTAGTTTATGATGAAATTATATATATTTCAAGTAGAAGGAGACACTTATTTACCTGAAATATGATAGATTTACTTAAATCCGCCTAGTCCGCCTAGGCACCCGCCTAGCCGCCTAGGCGCTAGGCCCAACCCGCCGCCCGACTAGCGCCTAGCGACTTTTAGAACCTTGTACCTAGCACAAGGCCTTTTGGGAGCTCACTGGCTTCGGGTTCCATTGAAACTCCGAAGTTAAAGCGAGTTAGCGCGAGAGCATTCCCAGGATGGGTGACCCAGTGGGAAGTTCTTGTGTGAGTTCCCAGAAACAAAACCGTGAAGGCGTGGTCGGGGTCCAAAGCGGGCAATATCGTGCTATGGCGGAGTCGAGCCCGGGATGTGGTGGGGGCCCATGCCGGGATGTGACATTACAGGATGGACCTTGGCCAATCCCCACCTCCATGTAAATTATATAAATTGTGCAATTGAGTCCTTTATCCTAATCTAATCTGGACCCTCCATCTTGATTCTCACTCTCTGTCACACTGCCACGTGGCAGACCACTAACCTTCACCCTATCTCTCTCTCTTTTCCCGAGTCCCTCTCGGACCCCTCACTCTCTCTCAGTTCTCAACTTTATCTCTCTCTCGAACTCTCGTTCTCTCACTCCATTTCCCCGATCACACCCACACCCAGGCACACCCAAATCCGTCCACCCCGATGCCAGCGCAGCATCTCCACCACCCTCCTGAACTCTCCCTCCCTCTTCTCCGTCTCTGGGAAGCACGGCGACGCGCAGAGGAAGCTCCATTTCCCCAATCGCACCCACACCCATTTCCCCAAATCATTCGATGAAGAGAGCATCATCGGGGGACTATTCGATTCGGTGGGTAAAGGACAAGGTGAATCTGTCGCTCTCGCTTTTCTCGATTCGGTTTTACGAGAAGATGAACTACACTCGGTGGGTTTTTCCCTAAATTTCCCTACTTTGGATACGTAATTCTTGTTAGATCTTGAAGCTTTTTGTGTAAATTAAGGTAATTTTTGAATCATTATGCACTGTAATTCCATAATTTGATCTATTGGAATTTGGGTTTGCTTCAACTTCTTGTTTGTTTCTGGGGATTTGGGGGAATTTTGGCGGTGGTGATTGTGATTGGCGGTCCGGAGGAGTCCTCACGCTCGGCGGATTCCGGCGGCTCCACTCCCTTTCCACCGTTCAATAAGCCCTCCTCCGCCTCTTCCAGCTCTGCTCCTTCTTCTTCCTCGTCTAGAGCATCCTCCTCGCGAAAATATCTCAAAAATATCGAAAATATCGCGATATTCGGACGATAATTAAGTGGATATATGTAAAAATATCGTTATCTAAAAAAAATGATATTATCGGCGAAATATCGCCGATAATATCGATATTTAAATCCTTGATCCCAACCAAAAAACATATACTCTGGTTGTGGTCATGGCTGAAATTTCAATACTTTCTATTGATACATTTTACTCAAAATCTTCATGTCAACATCTGACATTGGATGAGTTTTGCAATCAAAACTTTGATAATTCATTTACCATTTCAATGCTTTGCTCATATTTATTCACATTTGACGTTCTGGATGGCATGGCATAAGAAGGCAAACATGTATTGTCTGGTACGCTTGCAAAGAACTAAAAAGAGCAAATACATCTTCGTTAGGGTTTTCTATCTCAATATGCATGATTGGTACATGGTGAAGATAAGGTTTTATCATATGAAGGCTTTTTAGCCAAAATGATTGCATAACTCGTCATTTTAGTTTCTGAAATTTGAAATCAATACAAGTTGTCCCTAAAATTGTCCATCATCAATTATTTTGGTCCTTCCGTGAATAGTAATGTTAAACAAAGATTAAAATGATAAAACTTCCCTCAATTTAATAAACAATAGCCAAAATGATTTGACAAAAATTGAGAGTGTTTTTGTCATTTTATCCTTATTTAATGGAGACTTTGTACGTAATGACTAAAATGATTGATGATAGACAAACATGGACCAATTCTATCGATTTCAAATCTGAGGGACCAAAATAAGGAGTTACACAAATCTCAATGACCATTTAAGATAAAAATTCAAGTAGAGAAAATAAAGTTTTATAAAATGGAAAACCAAGACAAAGCAAGCCAGTGAAAAAATGTGAAGTATGAACTTGGTTAAGAGGTTGACTGCCTTCAACGACGCTGCTAACAAGGAAGACGATTTGTTCAAAAAAAAAAACAAGGAAGAAGATAACGACAAGTGAAAGTTGAACAGTCCTAAATAATCACAAACTTGATTAAACAAATAGCCAGAACTTAAGAGATTACATTGATTACTTTATGAGTTAATTTAAGATAAGTACATTGACCGATTAAGATAAATAAATAGTTATATTTGATACTTACTGGGACTCTAATACCTCAATAGTGCATCAGCGAAAGGGAAGGGTATATAAAAACCAACGTGTAGAGAGATCAATCAACAATACGAGTCCTCGTCAAACTGAAACTACTCCAAACAGACGAAACTACTTCAATTAGAGATTGAAGATGAAAAACAAAACACTAGCTAAATAGTTTAACCGATCGGAGTAAAGAAATCAAATAGCGGCCGGCGCTGGTGGCTGGATAACGGCGGACATGGCGGACGACGAAACATCAATGAGTTTAAATGGGGATCCGTTGGCCCTGTGCCTAAGCCTGTAATTACCTTAATTGGATTAATCTTGTTGTTGTTGTTGTTAGTATATCATGCATGCTTCTTAATTGTTTAAGAATAACCTGGTTACGTTGTTCTGTTAAAACTTAAAAATATCATGCGTGCATGTTGTATTGATTTCTAATTTTGTTCTTGCGTTGTCATGTGCATGTAGGTCGTCTAACAAGAAGCATCGTCTTATGGTTAGGAGGAACCTGTCGATGTCGATATCAGAATGGGCAAGTCTTCCCGAAGCCCTTATCTTTCTAATTCTGGATAACTTGTTGGAACCCATTGATCATGTTCGCTTTGCTGCCGTTTGCAAGGAATGGTGTTATCTTTCCAAAGTCTATAATCTTGCAACGCAGCGGTGGCTTAAGGTACTTCCCATGCTCTTGATCCCTTCCCAATTAGAATCACAAACACAAGTAGAAACTACTGGCCCGACAACAAGAGCAGTATACAGTATTAATGAAGGGAAAGTTTACGAGAATGTTCGGTTACCTGTGCCTTACAGTAAGATATGTCGTGGCTCCAGCCATGGTTGGTTGGCCACAATTGATCTAGCGGACCAACCTATCAACATAACTCTGGTAAACCCTTTCACAAAAGAAACCATTCGTCTTCCTCCGTTAGAGTTCGAGGCCCAAGATATGAACCTATGGTTTCACCCCTACGAGAATTTCGTCCAAAAGGTTATATTATCCACCGATCCCAGTTTGAATCGTGACAATTATATGGTTGTTGCAATATACCGCGGAGTTTGCAGGTTGGCTTTCACTAAAGCGGGAGAAAAGTATTGGAGGTCCATCCATATAAACGTGACTGATGCTGTATTTTATAAAAACAAAATCTACGCAGTTGGGTATCGGTTGGGAAGCATCTTCTCAGTTGATGTTGAGAAGTCACATGCATATCGACGTCAACCATTCATTCAAATCGCACCTTTCATTGAAATCGGACAAGCTGATTGGGAATATCTTGTGGAATCAATCAAGGGAGACTTGTTGCAAGTTCGAATGTTTGCAATTAAGGATGGTCGTACTAAGGGGTCTTGGACCGAGAGTTTCTGCGTTTACAAGGTCGTATTTGACGATAGTAACAGAACCATCCGGAAGGTTGAGGTAAAAGACATTGGAGATGAGGCTTTGTTTCTCGGCGTCAACCATTCATTCTCTGTTCTGGCTTCGAATTTTGTTGGATGTAAGCCGAATTGCATATACCACACATGTAAGCTAAACCCAACTGGCATGAATATCTTCAATTTAGAGGACAAAAGCATCACCCGGATCCAGGTCCCTAGTCCTAATTGTGATCCGACCAGCCGTATACCACCTGCGATTTGGATTTTCCCAACCTTTAACGGACTTGGCCATTGATTTTGTGGCCTAGATTGATAGTGTTTGTGTTTAATCTTTTATATGCCTACATTACTGGTCCAAGTAGGTTGTAGCACATATCCCAAAAATGTGAAATCCTCTACATTTTAATTCATTTCGACATATTGCTGGTTTCATCTAACATAAAAATCCTAGTAATTATTTCGGAATCTTTTGTCTCCGTATGTGAGGTTTGCTCTCATTCTGAAAGTCTTTCCCACCGTTATATTTTGAAACTTGATAGTGAAGCAAAACATATAAAAAATAACAACACTCATCAATTTAAATGAAGTAAGAACAAAGGCGTGTTCATTATCATAGAGAAAATATATATGGTAGACCAGCCACAATATTGCTGTGATTGCTCACACAAAAGATGTATTACCACATATTTGTCTGATCCAACGCTTTACCCGAAGTTTTCTTCATCCACTTGTGCTTAATTAATGCACATCTAATTTGGGTAATATCTAATTTGAGTAATGCTATATTTGGGTAATATCTAATCCGAGTAATGCTACACTTACTATATGTTTATTTTATAGTAGTGTTGGGCACTTTGAGATCTATATAATATTGCAGACCGGGAAAGAAGCCACAAAAAGCTCAAGAAAATTTGAGAAACCCAAGGTCCAAGTTGTTTAGAGGATACTCATGAGCACTAAAGTCGACTGCCTATGAGCTTAACCAGACCAGGATACGTGGAGAGTTTACCAACCACCAAGGGCATGTGAGCAGACTGATAACTTCATGAGACATGTCTACCCAGACGTCAGTCAGACCATGTGGCGACGACTCACAATCAGTAGCAAAGACCTAGGATAAGACCTAAAGATGGTTGGAATGGCATTCAAAGAGATGGTTAGATAACCAAGGTCGAGTGTCTCATCACTTTGAAAAGGCACGTCATCTCAACTGAACACATGTCATTTCACGCCCGAATGTCTAGTTTATAGGTGAAAATGGGTCACGTGCTATTCTACGTATGTGGCACATTAAATGCCAAATTGGGAGAACCCAAGATAAAGGGTTTATTGATAGCCTATATAAAGTGGTAGCAACCTCTTGTAGTGCGTCAAACAACTAAAATAAGAGCAAGTTTATGTATTAATCGAGTGTTATTTTTAGTCTTGAGATCATTATAATCCGAGAAACAAAGTAGATGTGGCCCAATTTTAAACGGTGAACCACTTAAACCATTTAGTCTATTTCATTTCCCTCCATACATGCCCACCAAGGGTTTAGTATTTTAATTTTGTTAACCTGCAAGTTTTGAGCATTAACAATTTGTATAATAAAAGTAAAGCCCACAAAATATGTGAGTGTCATTTCTATTATAAAAATAACATAAATATTCATACAGATATAGAGGAAGCGTATCAATTTTTAATCCAATCTAATAATGCTTTTACAACCTTTGCAAGTTCTTTTATTTTTTATGAAGTAGGTGTGAAAGAGAATGGTGTTAGTTGACTCATCGTGGTTATCTTTTTAATTCGGTCAATGAAAACTTTTGGTGCTCTGTTTGTTTTTATATTCATTTGGTCACTTTGGATTGATAGTTTGATCCCTCGTCCAATAACTTCCAAATACATTTGGTCAAATTTCATCTGTGTTCATAATTCTCTCTTTGCATTTGTATGTTTTTTTTTTCCAGTCGTTGGGCAATGCTTGCGGGATCAGATACAATGGGACTAAAATTGGGGTTAAGTTGATATTTTAAGGCTCAGGAATTGCACGGTGTAGTCCAAGGCTCTAATTTTTTGAAAGACTTGGTGTGCATTTGTGGATGTGACAGAACCAGGGTACGTTCCCAGTTTTCTTGTGCTATATGTTTTGCTTCCTGGTAATATTTTAAACTCAAATGAATTTGTCTTGATTTGTTGAAAGTTGAGGATGAAATTTAGTCATGCAATTTTTTTGAGATCTCCAATGTTTTTTTTTCTCAAAAGTATTCAACTGGTCATCAATTTACTCTGCTGCCATTATGTTGAATTTCAATTAGGGGAAAACCCATGATATTTAAAGCTACATTCTATTCTGACGTACCTTACTATTAATCGGTTTCTTCGTTCATTTTGTGCTGAAATGCTTGTTTTGGAGGCAGGAATGGAGAATTTGAAATAAAAAGTGGATATGGAGGGGAACACTCTTTGTTATTACATTATAATAAAACTCATACAGTTTGCAATGGGATTTCCGATTTTAAACTGAGCTTCATTTTTGGGAAGTAGTACTAGGTTTGTCCATAATTTGAAAGAAATGACTTGGTTAGAAACCTAACCCATAAAATTAAACTTGTTCATCAGTCTATTTTATAAAATTTTCATATTAGCAAGGCATGGATAGTCTTCCTCTTTGACAGAGATGTGAGTTTCTCATTCATGTAACATATTCAACGATCTGTAATCTGTACAAGTGTTCATTTGTTATTTCACATTCTCATAGAAAATGTCCTATAGCTATTGTGGTAACATATGCAATGTAAGAAAAAATGAATGGATTTTATATATCAGTTCATAAATCCTTCTACTTTGCTGGTCTGTGTTATCAGTTCATACATCCTTGTAATTGCATGACAGATTCTATCAAGCTTGATTTGTTTAAATGTATCTAGGCTAGAAACATCATTCTGTTGCTTAAGATATATATCTGTATGAGTGGCTCGTATTTCTCCGCTCTTTAGTATATGCACACCAACTTGGTTGTAGGACACATCATTTCTAAGTATAATCTTTAGGCACTTAATAATCTTGATGGAGCACCTAGATTTAAGGTCCGACGTTTAAAGTTACTTATGGCAATCTCTAATTCATTACAACTTACATGCATAATTTGGACATATTTATGGAATGTATGTCTGATGCTCTACCCCTTGTGCAGTTACAGCCCTGAAGATACAATCAAGTAGTGCACAACTTTCTTCCTGAACCCTTGAGTTGGAACAAGAAAGAAAAACTTAAATGCCATTTGTTGAGAAATTAATTCAATAAAATTATAACACGTGTTTAGGTGCATTTATATGTAAACTAAATAGAATTTGTGACACTATGTGATAGTGTTACGATCACAACTACAAAAAATTTCTACCCTTCTTTCACCATGGTAAGGTTAATTGTAAGCTTTAGTATTTGAAGTGCATCTACCTTCCAATTGGAAACATTGTGTCCTTACTGGAGCATAACATAGTTTTAAATGCTTTGTGCATGATACGAAGAAATTGAATGCTGGTGGTTGGGGTTCTTCATACACCATAACAAATTATTACTCAGTACTACATAACAAATTATTACTCAGTACCAAGTAAATTAAGAAATACACCTACCATACTTCCATTGTCCTTTCTATGACAACAACTTTCAAGGACAATGGAAGTATGGTAGGTGTATCTCTTAATTTACTTGTACTGAGTAATAATTTGTTATGTGGTACTGAGTAATAATTTGTTATGATGTATGAAGAACCCCAACCACCAGCATTCAATTTATTCGTACCATGCACAGAGCCTTTAAAACTATGTTAAGGTTCAGTAAGGACACAGTGTTTCCAATTGGAAGGTAGATGCACTTCAAATACTAAAGCTTACAATTAAGCTTACCATTTTGAAGAGTGAAAGAAGGGTAGAAATTTTTTGTAGTTGTGATTGTAAAACTATTACATAGTGTCACAAATTCTATTTAGTTTACATATAAATGCACCTAAACACGTGTTCATTAACACATGTTATAATTTTATTGAATTAATTTCTCAACAAATGTTATTTAAGTTTTTCTTTCTTGTTCCAACTCAAGGGTTCAGGAAGAAAGATGTGCACTGCTTGATCTTCAGCGCTGGTAACTTCACAAATGGTAGAGCATCAGACATACATTCCATAAATATGTGCAAATTATACATGTAAGTTGTAATGAATTAGAGATTGTCATAAGTAACTTTAAAACTCAGACCTTAAAATCTAGGTGCTCCATCAAGATCATTAAGTGCCTGGAGATTATACTTAGAAATGATGTGTCCTACACCAAGTTGGTGCACATAAAGCATATACTAAAGAGAGGATGAAACGAGCCACTCATACATATATATATCTTAAACAACACAATAAGCTTAGAAGGATGTCTCTAGCCTAGATACATTTAAACAAATCAAGCTTGATAGAATCTGGCAACGAAGCCTGGAATTACAAGGATGTATGAAGTGATAACACAGACGAGCAAAATAGAAGGATGTATGAACTGATATATAAAATCCATTCATTTTTCTTACATTGAATATGTTACCACAATAACTATAGGACATTTTCTTCGAGAACGTGAAATGAATACTTGTACAGATTACATATCGTTAAATATGTTGCAAGAATAAATATGAATGAGAAACTCACATCTCTGTCAAAGAGGAAGGACTATCCATGACTTGCTAATGTGAAAATTTTATAAAATAGACTGATGAACAAGTTTAATTTTATGGGTCAGGTTTCTAACCATGTCATTTCTTTCAAATTATGGTGAAAATTTTATAAAATAGATTGATGAACAAGTTTAATTTTATGGGTCAGGTTTCTAACCATGTCATTTCTTTCAAATTATGGACAAACCTCATATAGTACAAGATAGTATGAATTTTATTATAATGTAATAACAAAGAGTGTTCCCCTCCATATCCACTTCTTATTTCAAATTCTCCATTCCTGCCTCCAAAACAAGCATTTCAGCACACAAATCCAACAAACAAGGATACAAAATGAACAAAGAAACCGATTAACAGTAAGGTACGTCAGAATGTAGGTTTAAATATCATGGGTTTTCCCCTAATTTCAATTGAGAGCAACGAAAAATTAATACTTTCAAGAAAAAAAAAAACATTGAAGATCTCAAAAAGATTGAAAACAAAATTGCATGACTAAATCTCAACAATTTCATCCTTAACTTTCAACAAATCAAGACAAATTCATTTGAGTTTAAAATATTACCAGGAAGCAAAACATATAGCACACGATCAAGATCAAGATAACTGGGATCAGGACCTGGTATGCCCAATTGGATTCGGACGGCTAAAAACGGAAAACTTGACAAAGACAGTGCAGAAATTAAGAGAAAAAAAGGTAAGAGAGAAAATGAGGGAAAGAGAGACGGAGTTCATTCAATCATTCATGCCCTGCTACAGCTCCGATTGTTACATATATATATTCTTCATAAGATAACCCTAGTTGTATGGATTCAGAGATGTTGCAGGTACGGGCCGACTAGGAGAGGAAGAGTATTGGGCTTGGGCTCACATAGCTGGACTCAACAAGACCAGCCAGCAGACATAATCACAGACCCACAAATACATGTTCATCAACCAACAATGCTCTCAACTAAAAGGCTGCGCAATTGTAGAAATAAATTCATATAATCACAATTCCCACAGAACAAGAGCACGGAATCGGTTCAAATTATGCAAAATATGGGAATGGATCGGTTCAGATTTGGCAGGTTTAAACATAGAATTAATATCATAACTTAAAGAATATAACTGAACTGGCGGCGGCGATGGGGTGCTGGTGATCGCGACAGCGGTGATGTCGTCGAGGAGGAGAGAATCAAGCCGTCGTAGTTCTGGGACCTATGCTTTCTGGTTCTGGGATGTCGTCGAAGAGGAGAATCGAGAAATGGGTGGTGCTATCGTGGGGGTCGCGAGAATCGCGACGACTGTGATGTTCTGGGTGGTTATCTGAGAAGACGAGTGTCGGAGAGTGTGGGTAGGAGGGGACAAGAGAGAGTCTGTTTGGGTTAAAACTTAAACTTTGGGCTTATAGGGGTGTTGGCCCAAAAAGAGAAGTAAAAGCCCGAAGCTCAGCCCAAAAAGCAGAGAAGGCTTTTTCCCGACTAGGTGCAGGGCATGCAGACCACTTGCTTACCTACCCAAAGGCCAAGTGGTATAGACCAACCAGCTAATCAGCCCAAAAAGTACTTTTAAATGGCAGTACAAGTAAATAGCTGATGAGTCACTACCCTTCAAACTACATTCGGGCAAGGTTGCTGCTACAGGAGGCCAAGCTAAGATGTCTATAAAAGGAGAAAGAGAGGTCAGAATCAAGGACACTCAAATAAACAAATACAAGCACAAACTCTGCTCAAAGCCAGATTTGCCTTCAAAACGAAGCTGTAGTCAACCCAAGCCTTCATCCCTTTTGGGATAACCTTTTTTTGTAATAGCTCTGCTACCCTACTCAATTCTTGCTGTATCATCGATCTCTTTTCTGAAAACTCATTTCCCAGCCTGTTTTCTAAACTTTCAAACCTCTTGCAAGACGATCAGCCTTGCCCGACCCTCTTTGTTTTTGTCTTTTTATTCATTAGCCTAGCAATATGTTATATACTACGAATTGTACTCAAGTTATTTCTAGTAATATGGCTATTAAAAGGTTCTCTCAGTGCTTGAGTCCGATTTGAATATGTTTCCACTGTTCAAGTTAGATCTAAGTTCTAAGCCTTCGGGCATATAAGATTTGATCACCCTAAAAGTCCTTGGCCTCAAGGCATAAAAAAGAACCTGATGTGGACTTAACCCATCCACTACAAGTTTTGATAACAAGAAGTCCGAAGTTACTTGGGGCGCAAGTAATCTACCTATCACTTAGTTTTATTTCTGTTATATCATGATTACCATATAACGTTCGGGGACGGGATGAATTCTGATGAGAAGCCTCAAGGTCTATACCTAAGGCCCCACAAAGGCACCTATTTGGATTCATCCTGTTTCTCGGGCAAGAACATTGAGTATAGAAGGGGTTCTGATGGGAAGCCTCAAGGCCTATACCTAAGGCCCCACAAAGGCACCTATTTGGATTCATTCTGTTCTTTACGTTCAGGTAATCAGAAGTATGATGGTTATAAGACCCATATAACCAAGAAAATGAACCTTATGTGTTCAAGCACTAAGTTAGTTATTGATTGTGAAGCCTCAAGGTCTATACCTAAGGCCCCACAAAGGCACCTGTCAATAACTAAACATAGTCTCTTGAACATATAATTAAACTCAAACATCCGTTCTACATCTGTCATGCTGAAGATGGCAGTGGCACGCCTGAGCACTTAAAGGTTAATCTTGATTGTGAAGCCTCAAGGCCTACACCTAAGGCCTCGTAAAGGCATCTCTCAAAGTTAACTCTGTCCTTCTCTTTCAGACTTGCTCGACAAGCCTTGCCCGACAAGCCCGCCAGTAAAGTAGGAGCCCGACAGAAACCGTCAACCGGCGCCGACCTCTCGGGGAGCTGTGTGCTCGTTGGACAGGAAGCATCCCCCATGGAAATTCCAGCCACGAACACTACTTCATGCTGATTTAGTGGAGTACCTATACTACTGGTGTCACAGAGCACTTCACCATCATTACCTCTACTCTCGCTACCATTCTCATCACCATTCCTCAATCGTTACGGAGCCTATTACTTGTAAGACTGCTACCCCATATCATTTCATAACCTCATCATTATTTTTTAACGCATAACGGTACCAGTACCCAGTTTTTAATGGATAAATATTTTGTGTGTGTATGCGTGTTTTTTTTTTTAAACAAACAATATTATCTACATTAAATGGAGGGAGTGGGCTTAGGGCTGGTTTGGTATTCCTGTGCTTTGAAAAAAAACTGCTGTGAGAATAAGCAGTTGTGCTGTGAGAATAAGCGGCTGTGAAATAAATCAATAGAGTGTTTGGTAAACTTTTTTGTAAAAGTGCTTTTGAAAAAAAATCAGTCTGATAGTATGTCTTTTCATTAAAAGAGCACTGTAGCTCCGTGTGCTTTGAAAAAAAGCTAGTTTTCCAAAGTTGCAAATAGCAGCTTTAGCTTTTTCCTTTGATTTCAGCTTATTCTCACAGCAGCTTCCAAAATAAGCCCTTTTTTTTAGTTTACCAAACACCTAAAACCCTCACAGTTTTTTTTCATGGGTGTTTTCTTTTAAACACCTCACTCCCAAACCACCCCTTAAACTCACAATGGGCTAGTAATAATGGATATATATATTGTGTTGTGTTTATGTAATCTTCCTATTTTATTGCAGCTGTGATTCACCCATTTGCGGAGCACATAGTATATTCCTTGCTCTTCTCAATACCAATGCTGGCAACTGTCTTCATGGGAACAGTTTCTGTCATATCCTTTGCTGGCTATATTACTTATATTGACTTCATGAATAACATGGGACATTGCAATTTTGAGCTCATCCCAAATTGCCTCTTCTCGCTCTTTCCTCCTCTCAAGTATCTTATGTATACCCCTTCGTAAGAATCTCTCTCTCTCTCTCTCTTCACACGAGCGTGCACACACACAGATATGTATGTATAATGTAACGATATGTTCATGTTATATATGATTATTAAATACAAAAATATCCATATTCATATAAAGGTGGTATATAATATATACATATAGTGAAGTACACAAATTCAAAATAGGAAAAAAACCACTCACAATCTTGAACTGTTAGGGGAAGAAACCTAACTAATTAATGTTGTATGTTAAAAGCAAGTTTGTTGCTTTTTGTTAAGGATATGATAAAGTTGAGGTTGGATTCTCCAATGTAAAGGTAAGCTTCTTTGGTTCACTTTTTATGAAGGTTATATTATACATTTGGTGATTGTGACACCATATTGAAGTATCCAGACCAAAAGCATAAGTTGTTTAGTTGAAAGACCCAATAAGTACATGTAAATGTATGAAACACTTATATAGCTTAAAATTGCAACATTAGTGCCAATCAACAGTTAATTTGAAGATTATTATAATAGGGCATGTACCCACGCCCTATGATTTACTTTATTTCAACTCTTTTGATTTATGGAACAATTATTCAATTAAGCAACTTAATAGATCGATCTCGTCAACTGAAGACCCTTATATAAGATACGATTAACGTGTACAGGTTCCACTCTTTGCACCACACACAATTCCAAATCAATTACTCTCTCTTCATGCCATTCTACGACTACATATATGGCACCATGGACAAATCTACTGATTCACTCTATGAAACTTCACTCAAGAGAGAGGTGGAATCGCCAGATGTCCTTCATCTAACCCATCTAACAACACCCGAGTCCATCTATCATCTACCGCTAGGATTTGCTTCCTTGTCCTCTATGCCAGACACATCAAAATGGTACCTGTGGTTGATGTGGCCTGTGACATTCTGGTACATGGTGTTAATTCGGATCTGTGGTCGTACATTTGTGATTGAGAGGCAGCGCTTTAACAAGCTCAGATTACAAACTTGGGTTATACCCATATACACTTTGCAAGTGAGAACATTTTTTTTCTCTCATCTAAAAGTTCAACCATGCTCTAATGTATCTTATACATCAAAATATAAATTTTCCCTAAAAATATAGTTTGTTATTGAAACTTTGGTTTTAATAGACCGTTTAGGCAGAAACATTATTCATATGATTGCGCTTTGTTTATATAAATATTGCAGTACTACTTGCGATTCCAGAAAGGAGCTATCAATAGCTTGATTGAGGAAGCCATTGTTCAAGCTGAGAGAAAGGGTGTCAAATTTATAAGTCTCGGCCTCTTGAATCAGGCCAGTTTCTACCTACCAATATCTGAGTAAATTATATATGATCATTGTCTCCTTAATTTTTTATCTGAATTCACTTTCTAGTCTTTAAGTCGAATTATTGTCCAGGAGGTCCACTCTGTTATATATTCTGCAAAATAGATACATGAAACCCACCCCACCAATCTATTACTTTCTAATTTTAAGGGTTCATTAGATATTGGTCTTGAAAAATCATGATTTCTAAACATAAACCCACGTATAATTAAACATCCAACAAAAATCCAAAAGTCAAATAAACTGCCACATAAGAATATAAGTAACCTACTAATACAAATTATTTACACAATTTTTGCCACAACCCACACTTGAAAATTAGCTTCAATCAAGGGCCTTAAAATGTAATTAATCATCCTGACGTTTTTTCTATTTATTTTGTAACATCTCACATCGTCCAGGGGAGTGATCCTTAAATGTATATTCTCATCCCTACCTAGCACGAGGCCTTTTGGGAGCTTACTGGCTTCAGGTTCCGTAGGAACTCCGAAGTTAAGTGAGAAGAAGGCCAGAGCACTCCCAAGATGGGTGACCACTGGGAAGTTGCTCGTGAGTTCCCAAAAACAAAATCGTGAGGGAATGGGTAAGCCCAAAGCGGATAATATCGTGCTATGGTGATAGAGAGAGCCCGGGATGTGGTGGACCCTGGCCAGGATGGCCAGAATGGTATCAGAGTCAATCCCTGGCCGGAAGTGTGTCGATGAGGACGTCGGGCCCTTAAGGAGGGTGGATTGTAACATCCTATATCGCCTAGGGGAGTGGATCCTCTAAGCCTTATATGTACATGCCCACCTCTTCCAGCACAAGGCCTTTTGGGAGCTCACTGGTTTCAGGTTCCATCAGAACTCCGAAGTTAAGCGAGTTCGCATGAGAGCAATCACATGATGGGTGACCCATTGGGAAGTTCTCGTATGAGTTCCCAGAAACAAAACCGTTAGGGCGTGGTCGGGGCCCAAAGCGGACAATATTGTGCTACGGTGGAGTTGAGCCCGAGATGTGATGAAGGCTCGGGCCGGGATGTGACACGATGATCCTCTAAGCCTTATATGTACATGACCACCTCTTCCTAGCACAAGGCTTTTTGGGAGCTCACTGGCTTCGGGTTCCATTGGAACTCCAAAGTTAAGCGAGTTCGCACGAGAGCAATCCCATGATGGGTGACCCATTGGGAAGTTCTCGAGTGAGTTCCAAGAAACAAAACCATGAAGATGTGGTCGGGGCCCAAAGCAGACAATATCTTGCTACAGTGGAGTTGAGCCCGGGATGTGATGGAGGCCCGGACCAGGATGTGACATATTTATTTTTAATTTCTGCAAATATCCAGTGCATTACTTTAAATAATGACTACATTATTATTCGGTGTAATTATTCTCCTTATATATAACAGTTAAATGTCCATACTTTACCTATATAAATAATATCACCATATAGTCTGTAATTTACCTACAGTATATAAACAAAATATTCTCATATTTCTTTTGGCAATTTACCTATGATATATGCAAATAATATTCTCATGTTTTGTTGGCATTTTTCCTAAATTATGCAAGTAGGTAAATTTCAATAATGGTAGGTAAATTATGTACACGTGATTTACCTACATTTTTTTTTATGTCAATCAAATATCTAGACTACTATATATGTAAATAATTTACCTATAGTTGGTTCTTTTTTTTTTTTTGTCCTAAAATTAATTTACCTGCAATTTTTATCTCCTTTAATTTATATATTTTTACTTTGACAACAATTTGTTTTTATATATTTTAAAGTATAATAATTTACCTATATATAATATGGACATGTTGTAATGGTAAATTGGAATTCCAAAGCGAAACTAACCAACAAATCCCTACATTTATATGCAAAATATTATTTTTGTAAAATCATTAATTCTCCCTTACAATTTGCATAGAATTAATTGTGTACATTAAACATTCAATAAGGGTGTTTTAGGCATCCGAAAATTTTTAAATGGGTAAAGTCAAACATAATTAATGAATTTGCTTATGTGGAGTCTAGTCAATGAGTTTTATTTGAGCAAAACATTTACGTCAGGTTTCGACTTACCCCGACCAGGAATGTCCACTTGGACTTCGAATCGAGTTGTGCTGGCCGACACTTGGAGGGTGACGAAGCCATAAAGTGTAGTGTAGTGGAAAAAAGGATGTGAATAAATTTAAACCTAAAAGTACCTAGTCAAAAGAGTGCGCGGGTGAGCAAGATTGAACTCATTTCACATGTGATGTCAGAGTATAAGACAGTATAGTAAATAGGATGAGGGTTATACCACTGAAGATAACCATCTCTTGAGATTTGCCATAATCCTCTTTTACACGTACGCACAACTACTAAACCTGGAAGGGCGAAAAACAAAGTTGAGTGGGTCAGAAAATAATGTTTTGTAAAAACCTTTTCAAAAACATTATAACCCCTCACCGTAAAACCAAGTATAGTTTCCAAAAATATATGTATTACGTATATTAAGAAAAATACTTACTGTAGCCTACAAAGTCTCAAGAAAATCAATAAAGTACAGCTATCAAGGTAAGCACAAGGTGACCGCAATCACATAAAATCTCGAAATAGTAAACACATCATAACAAATGCTCATCAACCTATGCTGACACACGAGTTCATACAGATAATTTCTAAAACGAACAGGACTAGGTGTAATCAATGTGCTTTAGTACTACGCTCACATGAAGGTTGGCGCCAAAGTGTAATCACATACGAGTTGGAATTGCCTAATGCAATATATACGACAGGACTGGCACCTACTTGGATCCAAAGCGAGCGAACAATGCGGATGTGAACATACACTTGAAGGACTAGCCATAGCCTTGGGGCGAGTACTAACACCGGGGTGCAGCAATGTTGAGCAGATAACATAAATATAATCAAGCCATAACAATTCAATAATTCTAGTTAACAAAGTAACTTACCTATGCATCTCGTAGGATTATTTTAGTTTTTCACAACAGCACAACAGTTCTTCTAACATTAATTAATCATAGCAGTAAAATATAATCATGGAATCTTATGCATATCTGTGAACCTATAGTGTTCAGAATAATTTCCTAAATTCCGTCATTTCGCTACTTCAAGTAATTTTAGTCTAAGCAAGGCATGCGTAGTAAATTCTTTTTAAAGTATAACTAGAAACTAGCAAGTACGCGTGTACTTATAAAAAGAAATGACCCAATCACAGTTACGCAGTTGAAACGAAGCCTCTGAGCCTTACTTGACCTCGTACATCCTCGGGATACGTTTTCCTTATATGTGAAATTACTAATTAACTTAGTTTAATAACACATAAACGGAAACTTAAATAAAACCTCCGAAGATTGCCCAAACATAGGGTTTGAATATACGAAATTGATCTACTCGACGTCACGGATCTACACAATTTGAAAGAAATCCAATCGGAGGCCGAACACGCCGCCATGTGCTAGCTAGGGCATGGCCATACGAACCAACACGCCTAGGCAAGGCCCTAACATAGTCAAGAATATTATGTCAATTTCCGTTAAATAACTAATAGAGTTTAACGGCGTTACCTGACGCCATTAGAATATTTTGTCGTCTTCTTCGGTGGTCCTCGCTAATCGTCGTTGTCCACTGCTGTGTGAACTCGTCAGAATCTGGAAATTTTCGCCGATTTCTGGGGAAAATTTCAAACCTTCATATCTTCTTCATTTCTCAACCATTTTTCATAAAATTTATATGGAAATGAAGCTTATGAAGAGAATAACACTATTGTACCTTTTGGAGGTCCAAAAAGTGGACGGAGGTGGCCTAAAAATGGCTTTATGGTTGAAACTGAAACTTCAAAACTTGTGAAAACCTTGGTCGAGGTTGTTTCTCCTTCAAACCTTTCACTAGAAGAAGCCTTAGGGAGTTGAGCAGAGGCCATTAGACTTCCTAAAAAACTTGTAACTCGCTCGTAACTCGTCGGGAAAAACTAAGAGCCGGTCGGACCTTCCGAGTTCGACGTCCAAAACTTGATCAAAGGACATTCCAAGGGTGGTGGTGAGACAAGAACAAGAAGTGGTTTTTTAAGGTCACATTGATGAGGTTTAAGGGTGGTTCATCCTTGTTGCAGAGAGAACGAGAGTTCGGAGAGAGGAGAGAGAGAGAGAGAGAGTGAGACTTGCTTTCTGATTGAGGTAAGAGAAAAAGATGTGAGTGGTGGAGAGGGATTGGAGTGATTAAGAAGGGAAGGAGACCATTTGAAGAGATTTGTACGTACATTGTTTTACAAATAAACAAAATATGTTCTTGACAGTTCCTAACTTGTAAATGTGTGTACGTACGTGTAATACTTAATTTAACGGAGCGTAGTGACCAGGAAAATTGAAATTGAAAGCCGAAAACCACATCCATGTCAGATTCCACTTTTGTCCAAGAAGGGTAAAATCGTCAACTCACACCAACGGAAAAGAAATTATAGTGAAAAGTAGGGACGGGTTGTCATAGGTTTTATGTAAAGAAAATTGAGTTCCAGGGGTTAAAGTCATATTTTTAGTAATTTTAATGACTAGTACTTTTTTATTTATTTGTTTATATTTATTTAACTTCCGGTTCTAGGTTTTTTTTTGTTTGGAAACTTCTGGTTCTAGTTAAAAAGCCGAATCAATTTTTTAGATCAACTATTTGTTTTGTCAAAGAAAAAAGGTTCACAACCAATTTTTCTGTAATAATATAAATGATAATAAGAAGAAGTGCGCTGGGTACGAATTCTATCTAACTATTATCCATTGGTTTTACATACTAAACACCTCATTATTAATTACCCTTTAATCTTTCACTACTTTCTGATTGCAAACTTTTGCATGCAGGGTGAGGAGCTGAATAGATATGGTGGTCTTTATGTTGACAGGCATCCTCATCTCAAAATCAAGGTTGTGGATGGAAGTAGCTTAGCTGTTGCTGTAATCCTAAACAGCATTCCAAAACGGACAACCCAAGTTGTTCTTAGAGGCAACCTCACAAAGGTTGCTTATGCCATTGCCTATGCTTTGAGCCAGAAGGGTATCCAGGTAAATATATATGTATATGTGTGTGTGTGTGTGTGTTATATTATATATATCAAATTCATATGTCACGGCTCTAGCTCCCCTATATAAGAATACAACAACAACAACAACAAAGCCTTTTCCCACTAAGTGGGGTCGGCTATATGAATCCTAGAACGCCATTGCGCTCTCGGTTTTGTGTCATGTCCTCCGTTAGATCCAAGTACTCTAAGCCTTTTCTTAGAGTCTCTTCCAAAGTTTTCCTAGGTCTTCCCTCTACCCCTTCGGCCCTGAACCTCTGTCCCGTAGTCACATCTTCGAACCGGAGCGTCAGTCGGCCTTCTTTGCACATGTCCAAATCACCGGAACCGATTTTCTCTCATCTTTCCTTCAATTTCGGCTACTCCTACTTTACCTCGGATATCCTCATTCTCAATCTTATCCTTTCTCGTGTGCCCACACATCCCACGAAGCATCCTCATCTCCGCTACACCCATTTTGTGTACGTGTTGATGTTTCACCGCCCAACATTCTGTGCCATACAACATCGCTGGCCTTATTGCCGTCCTATAAAATTTTCCCTTGAGCTTCAGTGGCCTACGACAGTCACACAACACGCCGGATGCACTCTTACACTTCATCCATCCAGCTCGTATTCTATAGTTGAGATCTCCATCTAATTCTCCGTTCTCTTGCAAGATAGATCCTAGGTAGCGAAAACGGTCGCTTTTTGTGATCTTCGCTAGATTGCTCCGGTCATTAGTGTGGATAAGTATATAAATGGATAGAGATAGGAAAGCAAACACAAGATGTACGTGGTTCACCCAGATTGGCTACGTCCACGGAATAGAAGAGTTCTCATTAATTGTGAAGGGTTTACACAAGTACATAGGTTTAAGCTCTCCTTTAGTGAGTACAAGTGAATGATTTAGTACAAATGACATTAGAGTACAAATGACATTAGGAAATATTGTGGGAGAATGGTCTCGTAATCACGAAACTTCTAAGTATCGGAGTGTGGTATCATCTTGACTTGCCTTATCTGTCTCATAGGTAGATGTGGCAGCTTCTCTGGAAGTACTCTTCCTCCATCCAGGGGTAGTATCTTTAACTGGTGGAGATGCACAAGGTAATGTATCAATTTCACTTGAAGCTTACTTGTAGTTTCAGGCTTGGTCAAGCGCGATACAAACCATGTAGTAGGAGTCCCCCAAGTCGCCGAGCTAGGGGATCTGCTGAAAGAGGTGACAGACAAGGTAAGCAATCAGAGCTCCGGCTGATTGTTCACCTTCTCCCCATCTTGCAGCAGCATGAAGGATAAAGAGAAGAAAAATGAGAAAAGATGATATGGGATACTTTTGCTTTTGAAGAAGTAACTTTCCACAGGCTTATTCTTGAACTGAGCTGGAGGGTTTTCTGGTTTCCTCCAGAGTATAAGGCCGACTGAAGAATTTGAGGGTCAAAACAAGTCCATCAAATCTAGAGTACGTTCGACCCTGCTGATATGGGATACTTTTGCTTTTGACAGAGTAATGGATGTATAGGCACGTGTGCTGTTACGCTTGTCTCCACATGCTTCCTTGTATCCTTCGCACTTGCCCTATCTGTTCCTCAAGCAGACGTGGTATCTTCCCTGGAAACATAAGATGTTGAAGATGAGTACTCGAGAGCAATGCCAGGTAAGTAATCAGGTAAGGGGTTCCAGGGAGTCAGTTCCTGGTTGGGAGCTTGATTTCAAGTGCTGACTGATTGCTCTCTTTCTCCTTGTCTTGCAAGTAAAAACAAGGCAAAAGGAAAAGACAGGGAAAAAGCATGATATGGGATACTCTTGCTTTTAACCCTGATGATATGAGATATTCTTGCTCTAGTATAGCTTGTTTGTAGAGGTATTATCGGGGGGGAAAGAAAGCTGAATATTTCGAAAGGCTTCGTTGGGAGTGCCCTCTCAGATATGAGGAAGGGTTAAGCATTTTTGCAGGTCTGCCTGTCCGTTGGGGATGGAGGTCGACATATATAAGAGTCTCCCTAACAACAAGTAGTAATGCTATTTCTTTACCCTGCTTGGTCATAGCACGGTAGTGGGAGCTGCCAGCTTCACATGTTTTAACTCTGTCAGAGCACTTTGAAAAAGTGGTATGTGGTATCTGGCTCTCGAGATTCGGAGAACGATGCTTCTTCGATTTTTGAGAAAGCAATCATGCTGGGGGTCTGGCTCTCGAGATTCGGGGAGCAATGTCTCTTTGATTTTTGAGAAAGTAATCATGTGGGAGTCTGGCTCTCGAGATTCGGAGGGCGGTGCCTCTTCGATTTTTTAGTAAGCAATCTTGTTGGGAGTGTTTTCTCGGATGTGAGTAAAGGTTGGGCATGTTTGCTAGTCTACCTTGCCACGAGGCACAGAGGTTGACACACAGGGACTTTCCAATTATCCAGCAGTGGTACTGTTCATTTACCCTTGTGGGTAATAATATGGTAGCTAGACCTTCAAAATTTATGTGTCTAAACTTTGTTAGTGCTGTTTCTTTGCTATTCTTCTTTTACCTTTCTTGGTCAGAGCGATGTAGTGGGAGCTGCAAGCTTCACGTGCTCAACTTTTGGCAGAGACTTTGGCAAAGTTATCTGTGGTACCCATGAGCTATTGTTGCGTGTGGGAAGTGGGTGATTGAACAGTAAGATTCATGTGCTTTCGACTTCACCAGAAGTCTTCGACAGAATGACCATAATTTCCGCAAAGCTGAGTGTGCGTGTGACAGGTGCTGACAAGGCTAGAAAAGTAGGTGCCTCTTCGATTTCTGAGATCGACCCTCGTGATCTCTGAGCAGCCCAGCTTTTGAGAAAGCGAGCGCCTCTTCGATTGATTCGGAGAACGATGCCTCTTCGATTTTTGAGAAAGCAATCATGCTGGGGGTCTGGCTCTCGAGATTCGGGGAGCAGTGTCTCTTCGATTTTTGAGAAAGTAATCATGTTGGGAGTCTGGCTCTCGAGATTCGGAGGACGGTGCCTCTTCGATTTTGGAGCAAGCAATCTTATTGGGAGTGTTTTCTCGAATGTGAGTAAAGGTTGGGCATGTTTGCTAGTCTACCTTGCCACGAGGCACAGAGGTTGACACACAGGGACTTTCCAATTATCCAGCAGTGGTACTGTTCCTTTACCCTTGTGGGTAATAATATGGTAGCTAGACCTTCAAAATTTATGGGTCTAAACTTTGTTAGTGCTGTTTCTTTGCTATTATTTTACCCTTCTTGGTCAGAGCGATGTAGTGGGAGCTGCAAGCTTCACGTGCTCAACTTTGGTAGAGAACTTTGGCAAAGTTATCTGTGGTACCCATGAGCTATTGTTGCGTGTGGGAAGTGGGTGATTGAACAGTAAGATTCATGTGTTTTCTACTTCCCCAGAAGTCTTCGACAGAATACCCATAATTTCCGCAAAGCTGAGTGTGCGTGTGACAGGTGCTGACAAGGCTGGAAAAGTAGGTGCTTCTTCGATTTCTGAGATCGGCCCTCGTGGTCTCTAAGCAGCCCAGCTTTTGAGAAAGCGAGCGCCTCTTCGATTTCTGAGATCGGCTTTCATGGTCTTTGAGCAGCCCAACTTTTGAGAAAGGAAACACCTCTTCGTTTTATGAGATCACCCTCGTGGTCTCTAAGCAGCCCAGCTTTTGAGAAAGCAAACGCCTCTTCGATTTCTGAGCAGGCGCCTCTTCGATGTCTGAAGCTCCGTCGAGTGCAGCTTTTTATAGGGGCTGGCATTAAGTTCCAAAGCACACTTGAATCTCCACCAGTAGAAGCTCCATTCTTGCACTTCTAAGATCTTGATTTGTCCGACTTCTTCTCTCTTCAACACCTTTGAAAATGTCTGGCCCCTCCGACCGTCGTTTTGACTTGAACTTGAACCTTGTTGAAGAGGCAGCCCCGCCTTCTCCAGACAACATTCTCCCCAACATATGACGCCCATCATCCCCTCTGGTCCCTTACCGTTGGGGATTCCGTGATGATGAAGAATGATATGACCGGTGCGGTGGTGGCCAGGAACCTTCTCACTCCCAAAGATAACAGACTACTTTCCAAACGGTCTGATGAGTTAGCTGTTAAGGATTCGCTGGCTCTCAGTGTTCAGTGTGCAGGTTCTATGTCTAATATGGCCCAACGCCTATTTGCTCGAACCCGCCAAGTTGAATCATTGGCGGCCGAAGTGATGAGTCTCAAAACAGGAGATTAGAGGGCTCAAGCATGAGAATAAACAGTTGCACCGGCTCGCACATGACTATGCTACAAACATGAAGAGGAAGCTTGACCAGATGAAGGAAACTGATGGTCAGGTTTTACTTGATCATCAGAGATTTGTGGGTTTGTTCCAAAGGCATTTATTGCCTTCGTCTTCTGGGGCTGTACCGCGTAATGAAGCTCCAAATGATCAACCTCTGATGCCTCCTCCTTCTAGGGTTCTGTCCAGTACTGAGGCTCCGAATGATCCCCCTTCAATGCCTTCTCTTTCTGGGGCTCTACCGACTGCTGAGACTTCTCCTAAGCAACCTTTGTGAAGGCTCCATCTTGTTTGTTTATTTTGACTCATGTATATGTACATATTTGTAGCTTATCGGGGATATCAATAAATAAGTTTTCCTTCATTTCAACGTATTGTGTTAAATACACCAAAAGCCTTCTTCGCTAAGTTCTTTGAATTTTCTTTTGTTGAAGCTTGTATGTTGAAGCTTTCTGAGTGGAGCATGTAGGTTGGGGTAGTGTTCCCTTAATTTTCCGAGTGAGGAAAACTTCTCGGTTGGAGACTTGGAAAATCCAAGTCACTGAGTAGGATCGGCTATATGAATCTTAGAACGCCATTGTGCTCGGTCCTGTGTCATGTCCTTCGTTAGATCCAAGTACTCTAAGTCTTTTCTTAGAGTCTCTTCCAAAGTTTTCCTAGGTCTTCCTCTACCCCTTCGGCCCTGAACCTCTGTCCCATAGTCGCATCTTCTAATCGGAGCGTCAGTAGGCCTTCTTTGCACATGTCCAAACCACCGTAACCGATTTTCTCTCATCTTTCCTTCAATTTCGGCTACTCCTACTTTACCCCGGATATCCTCATTCCTAATCTTATCCTTTCTCGTGTGCCCACACATCCAACGAAGCATCCTCATCTCCGCTACACCCATTTTGTGTACGTATTGATGCTTCACCGCCCAACATTCTGTGCCATACAGCATCGCTGGCCTTATTGTCGTCCTATAAAATTTTCCCTTGAGCTTCAGTGGCATACGGCGGTCACACAACACACCAGATGCACTCTTCCACTTCATCCATCCAGCTTGTATTCTATGGTTGAGATCTCCATCTAATTCTCCGTTCTTTTGCAAGATAGATCCTAGGTAACGAAAACGGTCGCTCTCTTTGGTATTTCTTGATCTCCGATCCTCACCCCTAACTCGTTTTGGCCTCCATTTGCACTGAACTTGCACTCCATATATTCTGTCTTTTATCGGCTTAGGCGAAGACCTTTTAGATTCCAACACTTCTCTCCAAAGGTTAAGCTTTGCATTTACCCCTTCCTGAGTTTCATCTATCAAACACTATATCGTCTGCGAAAAGCATACACCAAGGAATATCATCTTGAATATGTCTTGTTAACTCATCCATTACCAACGCAAAAAGGTAAGGACTTAAGGATGAGCCTTGATGTAATCCTACAGTTATGGGAAAGCTTTCGGTTTGTCCTTCATGAGTTCTTACGGCAGTCTTTGCTCCTTCATACATATCCTTTATAGCTTGGATATATGCTACTCGTACTCCTTTCTTCTCTAAAATCCTCCAAAGAATGTCTCTTGGGACCCTATCATACGCTTTTTTTTCCAAATCTATAAAGACCATGTGTAAATCCTTTTTCCCATCTCTATATCTTTCCATCAATCTTCGTAAGAGATAGATTGCCTCCATGGTTGAGCGCCCTGGCATGAACCCGAATTGGTTGTCCGAAACCCGTGTCTCTTGCCTCAATCTATGCTCAATGACTCTCTCCCAGAGCTTCATTGTATGACTCATTAACTTAATACCCCTATAGTTCATGCAATTTTGTACATCGCCCTTATTCTTGTAGATAGGCACCAAAGTGCTCGTTCGCCACTCATTTGGCATCTTCTTCGTTTTCAAAATCCTATTGAAAAGGTCAGTGAGCCATGTTATACCTGTCTCTCCCAAAACTTTCCACACTTCGATTGGTATATCGTCTGGGCCTATTGCTTTTCTATGCTTCATCTTCTTCAAAGCTACAACCACTTCTTCCTTCCGGATTCGACGATAAAAAGAGTAGTTTCTACACTCTTCTGAGTTACTCAACTCCTCTAAAGAAGCACTCCTTTCATGTCCTTCATTGAAAAGATTATGAAAATAACCTCTCCATCTGTCTTTAACCGCGTTCTCTGTAGCAAGAACCTTTCCATCCTCATCCTTGATGCACCTCACTTGGTTTAGGTCCCTTGTCTTCTTTTCCCTTGCTCTAGCTAGTTTATAGATATCCAACTCTCCTTCTTTGGTATCTAGTCGTTTATACATATCGTCGTAAGCCGCTAACTTAGCTTCTCTGACAGCTTTCTTCGCCTCTTGCTTCGCTTTAGAAAGAAAAAAAACTTTTGTACAAGTACATTCTTAGAATGCCACGATCATGTTGTCGTGTCAGATTCAATACCACTTATTAGAAGATGTATTTGTTTTTTGAGTAAGGCTACATATTAAGTCTTATCAACTTGTCGTCATTCTTATATAAATTGTCTTACATGATGTGGGATCACTGATATATTATGAGATCATGTAAAATGACTCATACAATGTGACAAAGTTAGTGAAAAAGTTGAGAGTAAACTTGGTGTTTGTAGTATTGCTATTTTGCTCATCTTCTATTTGCATTGCACTTATTTCAGGTGGCTACATTACACCAAGATGAGTATATAAAGCTCACTAAATCGTTGAGTGCCATTGAAAGTAGTTTGGTTGCAGAAAGTCATGCACACAAGGTATCAATTATCATTTACAAATTTTGCTTTCATCCATGATATCCCGTTCAATTGTTTCAATACTTCGTTTTGGGAGTTGTTTTAAAAAAATATATGATAATGTGCTTGTCGTTAAAGGAAAATGAGTACAAAATGACTCTTTTTGTGTAAGACTGATAACAATTAATTTTTTGTATTATATGGAAATATAT